TATCGTATTTATTATGATGATTATTATTCCCTTTGTATTTCATATACAATCAAAGCCATTGAACTAATACAATACAGTAACTCGTTACATAATTTATTAGTTCAATTTACTAATTTTATCACGTATCATTCAATTGTATTTTTATTGATTAAAAAAATAGTATTAAACCACTAAAATATTATAATCATAATACTACTACTACTACTACTACTACTACTAATAATAATAATAATAATAATAATAATAATAATAATAATAATAATAATAATAAAGTAAAATAAACAATGCAACAAAAAAATAATATTATGTCCTTTATATTAAATACATAATTCAATTGTTTAATTGTAATGTATACCACTTTTTTTTTCTAGTTAGATGTACAATTTAATATATTAACTGTTATTTATTTTATTCAACTTGTTAAATGAATATTAAAATGTAAATAATTAATAACTTGAATAAAGGTCATTTTATTGTTCTGATTATGATAATAATTATAAATGAATGAATAATTGATTGAATCATTAGATAATGAACTAATTATTATTGATTGATTGATACTTTGAATTCAGTGATTGTTTTTGCATTAATTTGAGTGAAATGAAATGGAATGAGTATACTTTTATTGATTTGTATACTTTATTTTTCTATCGACCAGTTAAACTATTATAAATATGAACGAGATCATTATATATGTTTAATAATTTGTGTTATATGAAATATGTTATATAAATGTACTTGTATCTTGGCGAATTTTAGTAATTTCAACGAAAACTTAACCTTACAACTACATATAGAAGATACCTTCACATGATGCTAAAACTCACAAGAAATTAAAAAAATATATATCTTGAATTATTTTCAATTATCCAGAGATGTGGGAATAACTTTCAGTAGAATTTAATAGCAAATTTATTTACATTTTCCTAGTACCTAATTTGTTATGTACCTAAATTTTAATTGTGCTGTTTATTGTGAGGTCGTCGGTTCGATTACGAAGCTTTTTTAGTTGTTCTGGACAATGTCATTAGCGGTTATTTCTGATTGAAGTATCCGAGAGAGAGAGAGAGAGAGAACATCACGCAATCGAAAGCATCCATCTTAGCTATCTTCACCATTACAAAATATATGAGTAGTGCATACTTCTACTAGGCTTATAATCTTTTCAAGATCAGTCAATAACTCCAAAGTCAGTGGTAATCTTCTAAAAACACTTTACCATTTATATATGTTTCAAGTTGAGTTACTATTTGTCTAGATGTAGTTACATCAAAAGGTAAAAGGAAGTCATTTAGTGATACACGATAACTAAATATATTCACTGGATTGTAATCTGTTAAATTTAAATAATTAGTCTTTAATGTTCCAGAATTTTTTGAAGTATAGTATAAAATCAAAGCAAAATAAATCATTTATGGTTCATGACTGTAATACAGGACTATTCAACCGAACATCAACAATGGTGACAAAATGATGACACAAAAAATAACAATACTGCCATTTATTGAAGGTAATTAAATCAACCAAGAGAGTGTACCACACTTTACGGAATTTCTACTATTTGGTTTCTAATCTGATGGCTTAAAATTTATTTACTACTGGACAGTTTTAGAACAGACAACCGAATAAAAACTGCTTCATCGAACTATTTTATAAATATTTCTTTTTCTTTTTCTCTTCCCTGCTCCTTTAGAAGATCCTGTGATTGTGAATTGACTATTTCATTATTCCTTTGCCTAAATAAATAATCATTTAATACTTTAATAGAATATCTATTTCCAGAAATGGTGTCTTTTATTTTTTCTGTATGAAAATAAACACTGCTATAATCGTCATCATCATCAGCTTTATTGTCTAAGGTCGAAAATAATCGGTCAAAGAAAATAAACAAATAAACTGATCGATATACATATCGTTGCCATTATTGAGGTTATCAGGTGTACGCGCGCACTCGTACTAACGTTAACTTTTGGGTGTGTGCGTGTGTCACTAAATCATGTCAATTAAGAAGTACTTTGTGACCTTGATGCTCAGGATACTAATGATGACGATAATGATGGTATTTAGAAGTCTAGAAAAACACTGATGTATGTGTGGGTAGAAAGATGCATTATAAGGAAACAATCGATATATGATTCAGAAATTTCATAGTTTATTTTTCTACCTCTCACTTGTGTTGTTTGTCTTTATTACCTTACACTATGTTTTTTTGTCACTAATGTTTGTAGGCGTTGTCGTCCGTTAAACTTACTACTGTTAAAATTGTTTTATCCGTTTAATTTAATGATTCTTAGACAATACAAAAAAGGAAGTATTTACATAATATGACAAGGTTAATAGATTGAAATGTGTTTTTATTGCAATCTAACACCAGTTCACGAATCTTTAGAGAAAAGAAAAAGCTGGTCTCTAATTTCATGTCAGTTTACAAATAAAATAAAATAAAAATGTCGAAATAAGCATCCAGATCGTAAAGAGTTTAAAGTACAAACAAATAAGTAATTTAGTGTTCTTTATTTGTCAGAAGTCAGTTAGTCACAGACAACGTAGAACCTGGAACATATATGCATTGATTCAAGTTACCACGCTATATCAGAACAATAAGATGAATTCCAGAGTCGTAGGAGTAGTATCAGTATTAGTGATAGTAGAAACATTAAACACATACAATATGGTTCTAGATGGAAGAATAAATTCATAGAAAAATGTTATGAGTTAATTGTAAAACTCGAAATGTAAAGGAATACAGAACGTTGGTGCATTTGAGCTATTGAGAACGATTCTGATCCGTGTTACAAAACGTCTCCGATCGTCAGTTACAATAATTTCCCAAACACCATTCAAGTAGTCTGATTTGTTACTCATTTACTATATTGCCTAGACCCCTATACCTTACCTCAGCATTCCTTACTCGATGGTCCAACATACACCATGAAATCTTCGAAGGTATCTGTGATCATCTACTAGTAATCTGCGTTTAACCTTCGTTTTAAATGTCTAGTTTCACATCCATGAAGTAGAACAGAGCGAGCAACTACACTGTATACTCGACCCTTATTTATCAGACAGAAATTTCTCCTAAGCTATATTTGACCCAGGCTAGCGAAAGCCAAATGAGCTTCTAAGTTCGTGTTGAGATTTCGTCATACACTAATCCATTAGGAATGGTGAGATTCCTAAGATAATACAGTGGTTGACACACTCAACTACTTCTTTTCCTGTCATTATTTTAGGCTTTGATGCATACCAGTCCTGAAGCAACGTTTGGGATTTAGAGGGACAGAAACCCATGCCCAATATGGTTACATTGTCGGTTAAAGCGTATATAAGACCCAAGATTTTGTCAACGTTTTCATCAGGCAGGACTATGTCTATTGTAGATTGTACCCTAGTAGGAAAAATTTCCTGGCAGATCTATTATTTATAAGTCAGATGACGAAAACGCTGTCGATAAAAGAATGGCTACGTCGAAGTCAAATAAGAATGGAGAAAGTGGGCAACTATGACAAACACTTATGATTGTCAGTACTACTTCACGTAATATTAAGTTATGGTGATAAAAGTAATATATATTGGCACGAAGAATGTTTCATCAAAATCTAGCTAAATGAAAGAAACTAATTCCTCCTAAACAAAAACTATCTACATGTCTATGCGCTCTTTCGTACATGTGTTTCCAGTCTGCTTATCTATTGATCAATGCGTTCTCCAGTCAACTGAAGTTATTTGGTTTACATGTTAATCTAAATGGCTTAACAGTATATCATTGATTATCCTGTTTCATTTAAAGTATCATGAAATGTTTGCAACCATGTCATACTTCTTCAGTCTCAATTCAAATGATTCTTTTAAATATGGTCGAGGACCTATAAACAATTCTCTTGTGCAATAAGAAGTTGATTAAGAATGAAATCAAATGACGTTTGGTTATTCAAAAAATATTAGAAATGGGAAAAGTTCAAAAATTATTAAGTGGTTAAAGTAATCCGAAAAATGCTTTATGATTCCATGTGTTGTTTGAATGAACTAATGATACCATTGTACTTGTTGAATGCTTGGTTTCGAATTCTAAATACAGTACATTCGTTTGTGGTTATCTAGTACTTCTTGATCTGATTACGTTATTTCTGGGATTCTTAGTTCATACTATAATTCAAATACTCCTAATTATCATATCCCGGTATCATTATAGATAATACTCATCAACCACAAGTAGCTGTAATCACGAAAGAATAGTTGAATTTTGAATCAGTTAATTAGTATTGACACATTCAACATGATATTTCACAGTCTAAACTCAATACAGTTAACGGTTGAGTATTTTACATTTTGAATAAGATTTAAGAATAGTGAAACAACTTTTTGACTCATTTTGAATTTCTGTCATTATAAAAAACTAGTTAATTTTTAATTCAAAGGAGATCTATATAAAATATGCACTTTATATTGTCCTTTGTTCTTTTGAGGTGTCTGTAAACTTGGTTGTTTTGTTTCTATCTAAAATCATTTAAACATGTAAATACACCCATACTTGTTATTTAGTTCGAATGGTAAGAGTTGTCTTGTCAACCTACAGATAAAGAAAAATCAATAATAATTGAAATTAAACTACTATAATTTCCAATTAATCAATTGACCTCTGATTTATAAATGATCTTTATTTTGAATTTAACTGAATTAAAAATCTTTTATATTAGTTCATTCATTTGTAATAGTTCATTGTGATGATACTTAATAATAGTGAAATTAGATTTTACTTTACCATTTATATTTCAGTGTCATTTCAGTAATTTAATCTTTCATCAATCTAATTTTGTTCTATTATTATCAGTCAAATAACTAAAAGGGTAGTTTCAAGCAATTGGTTCTTATTTTCGTTTTAGTGGTTCTTATTTGTTCAGAAATCACTTTGAATTTCTAGCTTAATTTGTATACTAAAATATATAATTAGAGAATCGAAAAAAAGAATGAAACTCGTTTAACAAATTCCCTTAGCTACTATGACTATTACTACTACTACTACTACTACTACTACTACTACTACTACTACTACTACTACTACTACTACTACTACTACTACTACTACTACTACTACTACTACTACTACTACTACTACTACTACTACTACTACTACTACTACTACTACTACTACTACTACTACTACTACTACTACTACTACTACTACTACTACTACTACTACTACTACTACTACTACTACTACTACTACTACTACTACTACTACTACTACTACTACTACTACTACTACTACTACTACTACTACTACTACTGCTACTCAAATAACGTAGGTCTATCGGCTTAATTTGATATATTGAAAAGTCCTAATAGTATTCTATATCAATTTGGTTATGTAATCTATTATTTATTTGAACGTTTTCTTTCTCTTATTTAATGAAATTTGTTATGACTAGAGTTTTCTACAATTTTATCACTATTAGTAAGGGTTTGAGTTATCCCACTGTTGATGTTCAGGAAAGAATTTTGAAAATTATTTGCTAGTGAATGTGCATCCAATGAGGATTGTCTCTACAGTTGATGAAAATCGAATCTTGGATTTCACTGCTAGCTGTTGTCGATCTATTGTTACATAAATTGTGACAATCCATACAAGATACATACATTTCAACAAAGGTTAATGAAAATCTAGTCTAGAATAATAACAATGGGATAACTCTAACCTTTACTTATAATGATATAAATAAATTGCTTGTTGAACAAATTAGTAGCTATCTAGACTCAGAAAGTTAGTGGACAACAAGTTAGAGTTTAAAGTAAAAGCCGCTGAGTTGGAGTCTGAATAGAAGCGCTAACACTGTGGTACAGCTCCATTTAGCTGACGAGTTCCCAATGGGAGTAAAATCGCATCCTGGATTCCATTTATAGCTACAGTCCTTCGATTCAAAAGTATTACAATTTATTTTCTACATATAGTTACTAGATTTCATACAACTAAGAGTCATTGGTAACTTAAAAATAGAACAATCAGGCTCGCAGAATAAATTGAACTCATTTTATTTTACGGCTTCTCATCAGCTGCATACGATCTACATCATTACTTCGTAATAGATAAAAAAACATACACTTAATGTTCTATTCCTCTTTTTATTATTATGATTCCGGTTATGTTTCAAGCATTTATCTAAACTTCACAAATTAAGGTTTGTTAAACATTAGTTAATAATTATATTATTAATTGTTATTTTAGGTTGCATTTAGCTGAAGCGAAGCTGTGGATTAGAATGAATCCACGTTCTTCAGTAAACATTGCTTTTGTTGCCTTATTTAAATTATAATTACTACAATTCAATCGAAAAATTCAGTTAGTATTGCTAATCATTGAATTCTTACATGAAGTTCATACATAATTCAGTTGTAAAAGCACTATTTGAAGCAAATCATACGTCACTAGGGTTTCCAAAATGATAATAATATTTTCCACTTGTTTCTTCTTGTTTGATGACATTTTAAGAAATACAAAACTCTGAATCTATCAATCGGAAAGTGAAAAAAATTGACGAGAATTAAACGAGTTAATAGAACACTTGATAGTGACTCAGCTAAGATGAATATATAATGTCAACTTAATCCGAATAAAGTTGCCTTGTACAGGACTTATAACTAATCTTAAATATTTAATTTTTATTTCGTTGACGATTAATACCAACAGATGTAATGTAACAGTTTTCGATAGTTTCCTTCAAATGATCTTCCTTACAAATGTAATTTTTCGGTTGTGTTGAAATCATTCACTTGTGTGTTTCATTGTGAAGGATTCGTTATCAATATGGACAATATCATTATTACCTACTTCAAGCAGAAGAAAACGTTTTGCAACTATTACACAAGTACAGGTTCAAACTGTTCTAATTAATGACTGTGTTTACCATTAGCTATCTTCGTATATTTCGCGTAACTTTACAATGGGATTTCAGCTAGAATCCAAGTGGTAAATTGTTTCAAAAACGCCATGTCCTATAATATCCAACTTCAGCTAACTTGTGACTAAGCACAGATATTTTCACTGTTTCAGTGAACTGGAAAAATAAAATTCCCAATAACTTAGGACTAGTCAGATAAATTTCATCGAAGATTCAATAGCTTTTTTTATACAAACATCAAATTATTAATGAACAAACAAAAATTATTAGCTAATACATGAGAGAAAACTATAAGAGCAGTTTAAATAACATTTCGTCAATCTCAATGGAGTTAGACATTAACACTATTGGATGCCAGCTCAGTGGTCTAGAGGTTAAGCGTTCTCATGCAAGACCGAAGGTCCTGTCTTCAAGTCCCGTGTTCAGGATCGAGTATGCGCACTGATGAATCGCATACTAGAACGAAACGGCTGTCCAATGCTTCCAAGTTTTCAACGGTGGTCTACCTTAAATCGATTAATTAATTCAACTACCAAAAAAATGTTGTTCTGTATAACATTGAACTTTATTTTGACATTTGAGCTAGTATTTTCATCAACACAACTGGTAAAGACAGTTTTGATCCTGCAATTTTTATGATTTTGCTTTGTGAATTGAAACAGTTAAATTGTAAGTTTCTATTCAGTCTGTGGTGTGTGCTACCGATGTCGACGGATATAAGTACTATGTATCATCAGTCGAAAGTGGAATGCCTGGTGGCAGAAGGTTAAGAAGATCGAAGAAAAGAGAACTACGATAGTGAGCGATTGGTATGGAACCGAAGAAACAACAAAATCTGAGACAGTTAATGGATATTTTGCAAATGAAGTGTTTACTGTACGGTTCGCAAATTTTATCGAGATGTTATGTAATCTTGCTCTAAAATATATTCGGTTGTCCACACTTGTGTTCTCGTTCACTACAAGTGTATTGGGATTTAATCAGAATACAATGCCTCCAACCGAAATCACCATATTCATTTAAGATATAATGGATTTTTTGATTGGTTTTCTGATTAAATTATCATTTACTTTATCAGTTGGTCATGGAGATTAGTTTAGTTTTGAGAAGAAAATTTAAAAGTGGAGGGAAACGTTTACAATGATTTTCCAGTTAAATTCATAACCTAATAAAAATATTCTATAAAGTTAAATTATCTTTCAAACTGTTATAACATTAACAACGGGAGATGAAATATCAACTAGAAATATAACGATATATCAAGCACTGCCTACCGGTGGGATTGTATGCACAACTTGTCACGTAATAAATATCCAATTATTTCAAAGACTTAACAGTCTAATTTGAGTGCTTCAATCTCACTTGATAAGTTAAACAATTGGTATCATCAATGAAAATTGTTTATCGGAATTGATGTACATTAAATATCAATCCATTATGCTGATTAACGTTTCTATAAATGATTCATAAACTAGCTATTTCTATAGCCAATACGGTTAATTGGTTTCAAACTTAAGTAAAAAAAAGAATGTATATTTGTTGATCTTATGAATCAGTTTATTTAATGAGATTGAAAGATCCATTCATATTTGTTTAATAAAACATTGGTTAGAAACCTAAACTTTAATTGCTTTAATCAAAGAATACTTGATCATGTAAATACTATAAACTATGATCATATGATCATACTTCTATTGAACATTGGAACAAAGGCTGGTTATCCTCAAACCAAAAAAGACGAATAACTTATGAGAATTTCTAAGACTTTTGATGAACAGATTGAAACCGACAGAAAATGATATAATAAAACTAAGTAACAACCACGTATATGAGCCAATAGTTAGCAACCGTAAGCTAACAACAATGAGGACAGATTATAGATGACAGTTCATACATTTGTATTGATTGGTCATTTTGTCAGGAAACTCACAGGTTCTTAATTTTTTTATTGATATTCATGACTTCTTGCTCTTTGGACAAAAATTAATTAATATGCCTGTTAATGTAAATTAAACCTCAAATAATTTAGCCCATTATTTATTAACATAAATTGAAATTCTCTTGTCTGTTATTATAAAACAGGCAGTACCAAACTTTATTTTGACTGGCTTAATTCGGTAATCACAATGTACAACCAAGTTGGAAGGAATTTCGATGTAAAAAAAGAATGTATTTAACTATCTAGCAACCTTTACTAAAGATTATCTTGAGAGATCATTGATATTTAGTAAAAGGAAATGACTTATCAACAATGATTCGTTCAAAGTTCTTCATATATATGGAACAACCATAATTTTTAATCTCAAATGATCTATAAACTTCAGAATGTCTGTTCAATTTAAGATCAAAATAATCATTTAAGAGAAAATGTTTATTGAGTTAATTTTGTCATCAATAGTTCTGATAAACTAACTCATGGCACTTAAATAATCCATTGTTTATTTTGTTTTGTATCTATCACTATTATCCTACTGTTTGAGTAAAATGTGCTAACGAAACTGAGTGGAACATGACTTAAGTCTAAACAGTTTATTGTAGGATTAACGTAGATATTTTTGTAGGTAGTAATCAGTAATCGAATAAGTTCTGAAGGAAGTGTTAACCAATAACATGAGCTTCAAAAGTCAAGTAAGGATAAGTGATAGACCGAAAGAAACCATACATATCACATGTTTCAAGGTCTCAGGAAATGTGAAACGTAAATGTGGGCTGGCTATTATAACCAAGTTAATTATTCCCCTAACCACGGTTACCTTGCATTTTATTATCTCGGTCATTCCATCAACGTATAAATGTTCATGAATTAAGAGTAACATCATTAAGGTTTCAGAGAGGTCTGGCTATTAAAGCGTCAAAAATGTGGATAATTGCCCAGTTGAACTGTAGACCATAACATATTTTAACGACCAGAATTACCAACTGAGTTATACACAGCAGATCAGAATATGTGTACGTATAAATAGAAAACAATTAACGATGCTTGTGTTTTTGATGAATTAAAATTTATACAAAAACCTCGATTCTAAAGACTCATTTACATGACAATTGTATAACCCATATAACTGAATGGCTCTTGACTTCCCATTGCTTGCCTTCAGAACATATGGACTGTATGAACACATAATTTAATACTGTCATAATCAAGTTCATCCTACTTTGAACACTGGTTAGCATTAGGATCCAAGACTAGTGTTTCATCCTGTTTGAGTTTCAACTGCACGTTCCTGTATCCTATTTTCATTTTAAAGTATCAATGTAGTTTAAATCGAAACAATAACTACTATTTGCTTTCTATAAATCAAATTACCTACGATACTATGCAGACATTGGATATAATTAAAAAATATCTGTTTATTGAAAATTTTTGAAGAGTAGTATGACCAGAAAAAACTGTAATCGTTTACGTCAGT